CTTCAGATGTAGCGAGCCTGTGCGTGCTTAAAAATTATTGCCTTCTCTCATGATTTGGTGCATGGTGTAGATGCTGTAGCTGTTTGTCCAGTTACAGACTAACATGCATTAGGAAGTTCTGCCTGTTGGTTGGTGTTTTTGCTTGATTACCCAAGAGTCAAGTCACAAGAATACTCAGCATTTCAGTTCACTGCTTTGTCTCTGCAAAATAAACTTTCTCATCGTAGCAGAAATAAGATGTGATTTTTTTTAAAGTGTACCAACAGTCCAGTGTTATTTTTAACAGTTATAGATATGTCTTCTTTATCTAATTCAGACACTCTAAAGGCAAAAACTTTTCCTAGTACATTTCAGTTGTCTGTTCACCAGTCCTGTTTGGCCCAGAAGGAGTGATGAAAGGTTATGTTCTGTTTGGTAAAGTTTCATCGTTGCTCATGCTGTTGATCTATACTTAATTTTGTGGTTTTAGGGAAATAATTTTAGGTCATCAGCAGTTGTTTTTCTGATTACAGAAATAATCTTGATCCACTAATTACATATTTATACTGAGAAACAAGCCAGAAAACACTTGAGAGTAGAAGTATGCTAGAAAAGAGAATTTTTGCAGTAGGAAGAAATCATCATGTGTGCAACAGTCCTCCCCCACTGTTTTAGCAAGTTTAGATTAGTAGACACGATTACCTATAGGTCTGTATAGGAGATGTTGGTATCTAAGGCACCAAGCTGAGATAGAATAGGACCTCTTGAGGTCATCTAGTTCAGCCCCCTGCTCAAAGCAGTGTCACCTTGAGCAGTTTGCTCAGGGGCCATATCCACTCAGTGTTTGCGTATCTACAAGGATGGACACGCTGCAACCTCTCTGGGAAACCTACGGCAGTATGTGGCCACCCTTACAATAAAAAAAGACGTTTTCTTATGTTCAGAAAGAATCCCACAACATTAACTTAATTCAGGAGCAACTTGATCCTTGCCGCTTTTTGATACAAATTAAAGAACCATAAAATGTAATTCAGTTTACATCTTAACTAGTTGCTAGAGGTTTGCAAGAAATGTGGTTAGTGTTCGGCCAGTGGCATGCTTCTTAATCTGGAAAAATCCCAGCTATGTTTAAAAACTTCTGCCAAGATAGAGCCTCCATGGTTTATATTAATAATTTAAAATAGTTATAATATATTTATGGATTTATTTACATTTAATGGATTTTTTTGCTTTCTCTTTTTTATTTTTTTTTTAACTGTTGGCTTCATCTGCATGTACTCAGCATCCAGGTCTGTTTGCTGAGGGAGCCAGGGTCAGAAGACACACAGGAGCACGTGGATTCTTCATTTCTAGATACTTGCATAAAAGCCCTGGAACGGTACAGATAGATGAAAAGAGCACAAATCTTGATCAGGCCAAGAACAGTTCCGGGGAAATACATAGTTTGTTTTTACCTCATTCATCATGGCATCTTGTCTTTACTAATGAAGAGAGATTAATGTTTAACATACGTAAGGGTCACAGGAAAGTGAGGTGGTGATTTGCTCCTTCTGCTAGAGCAGTACTGCATTAATTGCCTAATCAGAAGTAATAAAATATTTAATAGGCTGAATTTTTTTAGGTTAATAAGTGGGAACAGAGGAGTTGGTGTTTTTCATTAAGTGCAGCAGAGAAGCCAGATGTTACTTAATAAATGACATAATTCAAGCCCCAGTATGTGTGAAAATAAATAAATACTCCCCTTTGTTTTCATCAACAGGCCTGCTAGGTGTCCTCAAACATGAAGTTTATTAACTACTGCAAAGTCTTTCTGAGAGATGTAGTGTCTTTAACTACTGTCTGTATGTAAAGTGTAGCCACTGCTGAATAGCAATTTTGTAATGTCGGAGGCGTGTGATAACAAAAACAATGGAAGAAATCAAATTCAGTAACTGCGGATCTGTGATGGATCCCAAATGCCTTGTCTGGGCTTTAGCCCAGCTATAACCCTTGCAGTGCCAGTGCTTCTGGAAACTCGCCTTATGGTCATCAGCACGGGTGGTGCTGGGGGACCTTAACCCTGACTGAGATGGTGGCCTGGGTGAGGGCTGACCTTCCTGGTTTTGGCAACTGTGAGCATTTTCCAGGAAATGTCGTTCCTTCGCTGTCACCTCTGCAGCTTCAGCAAAAGCAGAAATGAGATCAGAGGTCTCTGCATGTATTCTGGGCAACTCGGAAATAAAATGGCCTATGGCTGATGAGTCCAGACACTCCCACAAGAATAAAACACGTTTGTTAGAAAATGCTAAAGCAGTTGCAGCTTAAAATAAGGATAGAATAAAGCATTGTTTCACTGTCATCCTGGTGTGTTATGCAACTAAAAATTCGTTCTTTGAAGGAGTATTAGCTAAATAAAACTGAAGTGAACCTTGAGCTCACTGTGGAGCAAGTGCATATCATTTGAGGTAATAAAGCTCTGTTGTACCCTTACGTTGTTGTATATGATTCAATAGTTAGGCGTGACACTGCCTGAGGCCAGGGCTTTCCGGCTGGTTCGTGGGATGGCTGAGAACAGACTTCTGAACTCATGACCCTGCTTTTCTTACCTCTCCCCCATTGTCTTTGCTGGGTGATTAGCTGATGACTCATGCTTTGCGCTCAGGGGTGAAGTAGTGCTTCCTGAGTTGTCTTATTTATTTTGTAATCTGTTACTTGTCTTAAATCCACTAGCTGTGTGTGTGTGTATCTGTATATCTATCTGTCTGTCTATCTATATATCTGTTTCCTTGTCTGTAAAAGGAATCCTGGTGAAGTCTTTATGAGCACCCAGAATATAACCATTCACTTTTCACTGTTCAACTTATTTTTTCCTGTAAGTCCTTTGTTGTTTCCTGCATTGGTTTATGTATGTTATTGTGTTATGCTTAAGCCATTAGATAACCATAGAAATGTCTGGAAAAGGCAGCAGTTGTGTCTCCAAAGCCTTATTTAGTTTTAGGGATGCCTTTTCTCATAGGGGAGATGGGTCTTCTGGATTGCTATTTTAGTTTGCTACTCCCAGACTTCCTTCTGTCAACCAAATACTTGTAAGTAAGCTCCAGCTGATGCTTGACAGAGGAAATTTGTTTTGTCAGGAAACTGGCACACTTCATATGGATTTTTCTCAAAGTGATTTGGGGGAATTAAAAAGTTGTCAGAATTATCTGCTGTAATCGTAGATGGTGGCCCCGCATTTGTCGTTATGGCAGCAGCACAGGCTGCAGAAGAACCTTAATCTCCTGGGCCAGTCAAAGCAGTGGGATGTAACCAAGCATCAGCCTTGCAGCAGCTTAGCAGATAGCATATGCGTGTTCCTACTTTATAACCATGTCAGAAACTGTGACCATTTACTGTTACTTAAAATATATCAGATGGCAGTTTGGGTTTTGCTTATAATTACAACAGCTGTGGGCTGTAGCAGACTGCTCTCTCATACAGATGCCCTGCAAGTGATAACTGTGTGTGTAAGTAATATTATTTGAGAGTGTCATCTAGGATGGTAGAATAAAAATTAACATCTAAAATTATTGAGTATGAGAAGGGAGTGAAAAATAACAGAGATTAAATAACCTTCTTCATTAATTAACCTCCAGAGGAGAGCCACAAAGATGGCCAGAGGGCTGGAGCACCTCCACTATGAGGACAGGCTGAGAGAGTTGGGGTTGTTCAGCCTGGAGAAAAGAAGGCTCCGAGGAGACTTAGTAGCCGCCTACAGGAGAGATGGGGAGGCACTCTTTATCAGGGAGTGTAGTGATAGGACAAGGGGTAGCGGTTATAAGCTGAAAGAGGGTAGATTTAGATTAGATGTTAGGAATAAGTTTTTCACTGTGAGGGTGGTGAGGCACTGGAACAGGTTGCCCAGGGAAGTTGTGGATGCCCCATTGCTGGAGGTGTTCAAGGCCAGGCTGGATGAGGCTTTGAGCAACCTGGTCTAGTGGCGGGTGTCCCTGCCCATGGCAGGGGGGTTGGAACTCAATGATCTTTAAGTTCCCTTCCAACCCAAACCGTTCTATGATTCTGTAATTAATCTGTGGCTTCTCTTGTGCTTTTTGAAGTGTTTTTATTTTTCATTTTGAGTTTGAATTTGTCATGTTATGCTAGTTCCTTCAGGTGCAAAAGTTTTACTGAAAGCATGCAGCATTACAAGAGATGAAGCTCTTTTGACAGAATGTTGATGGTGGTGAACTCCTGACAGGGAGACAAATGAGCAATTCACCTAGTCAGTGCTTAACTTTTATAATGTGTCTGTTGGACAAACATAAGATCACTTCAACAGGTCTTTCAGAAAACAACACCAAATTAGCCATTCCAGAACAATAACAGCGGGGAGCACCTCTTAGTGTTGCAACTTGTTTGTCATAAAGCACTAGATGCTAATGTTGTGTATTCTTTTTTTTCCTTCCTGTAGGTGCCTGAGATTATAAGCTCTATTCGACAAGCTGGAAAAATTGCTCGTCAAGAAGAGTTTCAAAATAATCTCTCAGATGTTGAAGACCCTTTCGCCAAAAAGTTCGAGGTGCTGTTCTGTGGACGGGTGACAGTAGCACATAAAAATGCACCTCCAGCACTCATAGATGAATGCATTGAAAAATTTAATCATGCAAGTTGTACAAAGAAGTCAGATTTCAGCTCATCATCCCAGCAACATGAAACTGCCAATAGCTTCGGAGGCTTCTCTTTCAGCAACAAATTTCGGTCTGTCTTTCAGCCCTTGGTCAGTGAAGAGGAGGAGAAAAGGCCAATTAGGAAATCCTTTTCTCAGCCTGGGCTTCGTTCCTTTGCTTTTAAGAAGGAATTGCAAGAGGGAAGCAATAGGAGTAACAGCTTTGTCAGGTCTTTTGAGGAAGATGCAATTTCACTGAACCTAAAGAGTCAACTTATCCATGGACACAGTGTTGTGCAGCCAACAGACATTGCAGAAAACCGGACAATGTTGTTTACGGTAAAGCAAGATTTGGAGCTCTTGGTGGCTTTTTCACATCTTGGAGTTTGGATTGAATTGGCAAACACCAAAGCAGATGTTCTGACAGATGGCAGTTACTTCTTTAATAACTTAATTGCGATTACCAGAGCTTAATTTAAACTTGCCTATTTCTCTAGAAAGCATTACCAGTCAATGTAAATTGTTTTACATAGTCAAAATCAGTTTATATTAAATAGTTTAAAACAGCACTACCTGAAACATTGGACTTCTAAAGGCAGCTTTTAGAAAGCTACAGCAAGTTAGTATGTAGCTATACAATTGCAAAATGGTATGTACAATTACACTAACTAGTAACAGCAGAAATAAGTTTCCAGGGGAATGAGTTAACTGTGACTAGAGCAGAAGGACCAAACCATAACTGAGGGCTGGTAGACTTTGTCTCATGATAAACAGTGTAATTCATGAAGGTGTTCCTGCTGCCAACAGGTCTGTGTAATGGTGGAGTAGTGTAGTAACTTCCTAGGCTACTCCACACCTGTCTCCGCTCCTGTCCTGCCTTTGTGTGACTAGCAATGCCTTTGCCTTGATAGGTGAGCAGCAAAAATGTTTTTCAAGACCTGAGAGACAAGTAAGGAAGGTGTTATTTGCTCCTCTTATAATCCTCATGATAGATGTTATATAACATTTTGTGTATCTTATATCATATGAACATAATGCAAACCTGCAAACCTGGAGCTGATGTTGTGATGGCTGGCTATTACAAGGTCATCTCAGATCTGTCAGCTGCTGTTGGGGCTGGGAGTTTTTGAGGATGATAAAAGAGTGGAGTGGGTGCAGTTACAGCAAGTTTTTTGGAGGGGGAAAAGAGATGTGCTGCTTTAAGAAGGATTGTGAAAGTGTTACATCTGCAAAAGTAACATGAGGGAAGAAGTGTAGTTAGCTATACCTGATTTAAAACTTCTGTTTAATTGTGGCTGGCTGGCATCAGAGGGAGAAGAGGAAGAAGGTGGAGAGAAATTTTGTGCTCCAGTAAAAACAATTCCATATTTGCCTTCTTCCCCTGAGCTGGTATTTCACGCAGAAAATAGACATCCTTTATAATAATGCCTAATTTTTAAACAAATCCTGACTCCATTACTAATTCATAGCACATGTTTTAGAGGTAGGGAAATCATAGGTGGACTACTTAGGTCCAAATCCTCTTATTCCAGTGAATACATTTTTGATTTATATTAAATAGATGCAACAGTTCTCAAAGACATACACAGCTTCAGCCTGAATATAATGTCAGCCATCTGCTGAGAGGCTTATTTCCAAATTGTGGGGCTCTGCTGATCCAGCTTTCTATCTTGGGTTGCTTTTTGCATGGGAATATACTGTTTAGTGTGCACAGTTGTACTCTTTTGCCATTAAGCCAGTCTAAATTCAGATGAATATTAGGAAGTGAAGTAACTGTGGTAACTCCAGTATCCACATGTTAGCGGCTCATAGCAGAGCTGAGTTTGTTAGTTAGCCGTTCAAAGTAATGGTATGTCTACAGTGTGCACAGGATTTGTCCTATGCTCATCAGTTTGTGTGCGGCTACATATGAGATGCTTGAAAGTAACTTCATGTCCAGAGGAAAAAATCTGTATTTTCTCAGTTGAAGTTCTTGCTTGGATTTTCTCCAGGACTGCAGCAGTTGGTTGGTACGTGAGGTGTGAAAAATGTTCAGATGAGTTATCTGTTGACTTTCCTGACCTATTTCAGACAGTCCTAATTTTCGTATCTCTTCCCAAAGAACTGCTTTCCTAGACAATTTCTTTGTTTGTTTTTAGTCTTTTCTCCTGGCAGTATTTGGCAGGGAGGACAGGATGTACTGGGGTTTTTTTTCCCCTTATTCAGTTGGCGTCAAATGATCCCTGCTGCCCTGGGACCAAGTGTGAAAGGAGTATGTGGGACTGAGCTAAGAAGGAGACTGTCGCTGCAGGGAGGGGAAGGCAGCAAGGAGCAGGAGGAGGCTGCTGATAGGTGTTGGAAGGAATAAACCCATGAACATGTGCAAGGTCAGCCCTGGGGACAACACAAGGAAACCAGCAGGGAGTTGGGGAAAATCATTGTGACTGGTTGAAGTGAAAGAAGAGGTGGAAGGAAGCACAGAACCATTTTTAAACATATGGAGGTGGCACATCTTACTCGATACGTTTGCCCACAAGAGTCCCCCCTGCCCCCGTCCTTAAGAAGTTACAGGTATATTGGTGTTGCTGATGTTTTTATGTGCATCTTTTTGGATTTGGTAGTTGAAGCTTCAGCAGGTTTATCCAAGTCATGATCATTAATGGACCCAGATTCCACCCATCTTCCCTAAAATCTCATACGAGACTTGTCCTTAGCAGACTTTCTGATATGCTAGAAACTATGAGGAATTTAAGTCTTATCTGTTAAAATCTTACGAAGACATTGTCACAAGCTGACAAATTGAAAACAATAGTTTTGCCTTAAAGGTGCCCTTAGCCCATCAAAAGTTAGCATCAGCTCTTGGAACACTGTTGTACAGATTAAACTAAGTTAGAAAATATACTCCAGTAAGCTCATTTCTGTAGTTTGAGTTGAAGCCTTTAAATTAAATGCTATGTGTGTCTTAAATAAATAAATAAACTCCCCCAAAATAAATAGGTGGAATAGAGGTGGAGGCACACACTTGGATTTAAATTTTAGGACAGTTTCATTCAGCAGCTTTTGGGAATGTGATGGGTGCCAAACCAGCAGAAAATAAGTGAAGGGAGTGTGTGTGTATTTTCTCAGTTCAAAGTAAGTTACTTCTGTTATAATATTACTCTCATCTAATTAAACACTATTCTCAGTCTCTTGTCTCAAATGTGAAACTAAATCTCAGCTCAGTAGGGTCCAGAGCTCTGAATGCCGAATCGATGTTGTTTCGGTATTCTCTCCTTGGTAATAATACACTGATTGGTCTAAGTGTACAGGTAGAAAAAAAAAATTGAGATTTATGTCCAGGAAACATTTTTATAGTGAGACAAAAGGAAGTGTAATGTTACTTGTTATCTGCTTGCTATTTATTTTGCTCCTTTTAGATTGGACAGTCTGAAGTTTACCTTATCAGTCCTGACACAAAAAAAGTAGCAATTGAAAAAAGCTTTAAGGAAATATCCTTTTGTTCTCAGGTAAGATTGCAGTGTATTATTTCTCTCTTTTATTTGTTTAAATATTCTCCACTTGTGATTGCTTATGTACTGCTTTCTCCTAGCACTTCAAATGCGTTCTTACCCCAGCGTTTCAGTAATTGGTATCGACAAGTTGCTAGTAATTTTGTAAAACTGTCATTCTTTTCTCATGCTTTACATCGTAATTTCTGAGATAATGACTCACTTCTGTGTGCACTGGATGAGTACTATGAGCTAGAAGGAACACCCTGGTCATCTCTGGTTTGAGATTTCAGCGGGTGTGATTCACAGTTGTGCAAATTTGGGATTATCTGAGCCATATTTTTCAAGAAGCAATAATGAAAGGAGATAAATTATATGTAAGAGTTCTCTGAAAACTACTTCAAAAAATTTTTTTTCTAGAGTATAAATTGTATGTGTGTCAAAGAAGAGAATCCTCTGTGATGCAGAGGTAGCATGTGATGCACCGAGGGCAAGCATATTTCGAAGCCTCCTCTTACAGTACTAATCCCTCTTCCTTGTCCAACAGAGTTTACTTCCCTGTCCTACAGAGTTTGCTTCCCTGTCCTTCACTCATTTTCATGGCTCTCACTTTGAATTTGCAGGGATTATGTGAGGGTGAAATTTATCTAATGACTTGAGTGGTGATGTTTTGAAAGAGGTGCAGCTTACACATGTGAAGATGCAGTAATGGTGTTGCATAGGTTACAGGGGTGTGTGATTCACACTCAGCGACAGCAGCGGCTCAGGGGTGTGCGGTCAGAATAGTCACATCAAGGACATGGGACAGCTCGGGCAATTGCAGCACTCCTGTATGAGCAGCTGCACTAACTGCTGGCACGTCCTGTGTACGGGAGCAGAGGACTCTCCTTTGAGAGTTGCTCAAATATCAACCTGCAGACTGAAATGACTGTTCATAAAGACATTTCGTAGACCACTTGCTTTTGTTGACTAACCAGTGTCATGATACAGGAATTTGTCTTTATCTGTTTTCCATCCTGCAGGGCATTATTTATATTGAGTTTGCCTGTGTACCAGATTTGATTCAGTTTAAGTGAATGGGGGGATGGAATTTGATTAATTAAACTAGGTTAGAGTCCTTAGAGAACATTTAATTCCTTTAAAATGTGTTATACATAATTTTTAGTTTAAAACTCAGAGAAATTAACCTGAACTGTAATTATATAAATAAACTTATATTTATTGAGGGATGGATGTTCCTGCTAGTTTAACTAAAAATTCACCTTGAATTAAACTGATGCAATGCTTGCTTGTACTATGGGGCTTGGGTGGGAATAAGACCTGGTATACCAGGATGTGAATTTGCCACTCTTTCTTGCACTAGGAACTATTTTGCACTTGGTTTATTTGAATAGAGCTCTCCTCAGTGCATCACAGACTCTGTTCTTACTGATATTGGGGCAAAACTATTTTTTTTCCTATAGAATGTTTATTTACCCATTTTTAAATATATGGAATATGTTTTGCTGTTATTTGCTTCTAGCTTTTTTGGATTGGGATTTTTTTTTTATAAGTGACTTTTTTTTTTTTTAATTTTATGAGGATAGCTTTCATCACTAAACATACAGGTACCTGTTCTGAGAATTTCAGAGTAAACATAAGTAGTTTGTATGCTGTCAGATCAAGAGCTTTGAAGACACCTCCTTGATCACAGAAAAACATTTATCCACGTGTTCCTTTAGGCCATCTCCTTAGGCAGGAGCTACTTAGGTAGACTTTCTGACTTGCCCTGAAGGTCAGGAGGCAGTTGTGCTCCTCAGAGCAGTAGGAGTGAGACTTTGATTGAATTCTTCCCTCCTGTCTGAAGAATGTGCAACTGGGCAGATGTTATGTCAGTTGGGCAAATATTTGTATTGGGGTACACACTTCCCCCAAGTATGCACATTTCGGACGACTTGACAGAATGATCTTATGGACTCATCTTGATCATACAAGAACTTTAATAATCTTTTCTTGAAGGCATCCAAATTAAACTACAAGGGAGATCAGAATCATTACTTAATTTCCAGAATGCCCAATCCATCAGTGAGATATAATGGCAGAAAGAAGTATGTGGTCATGGGGCAGTATCTGAATTAGCTAATCTGGAACAGCTGAGAGTATTTGCCAGCTCCTGCTACCTTGCAGTTTTTTATACAGGGTCATGTTGCCAGCTGGGCTCCCTCCACTGTAGCAGTTGTGCTTTCAGGAGAAGAAATGGGCTTTCAGAAGAAGGAACATGGGCCGGGGGATTAGAGGGGGGGCTCAGTGCATTCTGTACACATCTCTGATGTGGATGACGGAGGGAGAAGGTCTGTGGGTCGCAATAGCCTGTTCTTGCTTTGTCACATAGCTGCCTTCTAAAATGCTTAGCCTGGACATCCAATGGAGCTAGAGCTGGAGAAGCTGCAGGCTTTACATCATTTGAATGTCCTTCTGATCTTTTTGTTCTCATGGCATACTAGTGCCTGATGTTTGTTATCTATGTGGTATTGTCACACTCCAACAAACCAGATATCTCCATATATGTTATTTTCTTTTATTCAGCTGGCATGCTCTGAAGGCTTATTGTTAGTATTTTGAACAATAAGACAACATTGTTTAGATTACTTAAGGGTATCTGATGCTATAACATGTTATTTTTGGGGATGCCTGGGCATTCTGTTTTATAGAAGTTTTCTCTTTTTATGCTTTTTAATTTTTTTTTAATGTTTTCTACATGATAAAAGGACAAAGAGAATATTCGGTGATTCTTACTGTGGTAACAAGGAAAAGCGAAAAAAAAAACAAAAAACCTAACAGAAAAGTCCTGTCTGGTATCTTCAGCTTGCTTAAATTTCACTGAAATTTCTGATTTACTGTGATTCATCATTATGATATTTGATACGGCAGTTTATTGCCTCTTTACCCAACTTTAATATTGTTGTGCCATGGCAGCTAGAAGGTAGGAAAATGGTGCTGAGTGTAATTGAATTTCTATAAACAGGCTCTAACCACTGTGCACATAGTTCATCTTCATAAGTTTGGGGGTTTTTAGCAAAAACAGGAATGGTGCACTGAGGAGATGTGCACTGAGATCACTTACCTCTACGCATTTTAAAGTCTTTTCTTCATAACAGAAAAATAATTCCCAGCAATTGCAAAACCTTCTTAGAATTTTACCAGGATGTATTGTTTATCTACTTTTGCAAGTAGATTGTGCCTGAATTTGCATGCCTTTTAGGAGAAATAAATGCTTCCATGAGTGGTCTTTAAGGAATATATTTAACCATTGTCATTTTTTAACGAGCCAAGTTTTTCTTTAGGTGGAAAAAAAATTATCCATTTTTCACTTTGATTTACTCATGCAAATGTAAAGCAATTGTTTACCGCTTACCCGAAGGAGAAGAAAAACAGAGCAAACGTTTTTCCCTGGCTGTTTCCAATATTGAGTAAAATAGATCTTGAATAGTATTTATTGATCCCTGGAAGTGTTTTCCAATGCGTCTATTATAATTCAGTCATTAAAAAACCAAAATAAGAAACAACCTCTGACTTCAGTGAAATTTAAAAGATTAATGAAGTAATAGGTTCTATAACAGAATAGATTTTTAATGGCAAGATGACTTTAATATAGCTGTAACAGAGATACATGACCTATCTGTCATCCTGTTGGGCCTTTCATGCTTCTGTTCCTGGAAAAAAATACAGATACAAAACATTCAAAGTAGATATGATTGCTTCATTACTGTTGTTTTTGTACTAGGGAATTAGACATGTGGATCACTTTGGGTTCATCTGCAGAGAGTCTTCAGAAAATGGAGGCTTCCACTTTGTTTGCTATGTGTTTCAGTGTACAGATGAAGCACTGGTAAGTAAAAGAAAAGAAGAGCCTGATAAAATATTAGGCCCTGAAAGTCTTCTATTGCTCCATGCTCTGTATTTTGCTGAATGTCTTCAGATCCTGCTCCACTCAGAAATATAATTATTTTAAAAAGGTATCTAACATAGCAGTCTGCAAAGGCACTTTTAATTTGTTTTGAAGACAGAAGTTAAAACCCCCTTTAAAATCCAGTGAAACTTCCTTTCATTGCACAAACTGTGTTAGACAGTATGCCTCTTTTTTGGAAGAGGGTTTTTTCGTAGTGTACCTGTTAAAATTGGGACTTCACTACTGTGCTCTATGTCAGGCCAGTGCATCACAACTGCAGTAAGTGTTTTTATCGCAGACAAGAAAAAGTTTCTAGATAGAGGTATAATTTTTTATTCAACCATAGTAATAAAATTGGGTGGCCTGGAAGGGATATGACTTCACAATTATTTTTGTCTTGCTTGTGTTTTTGTGTGCAGAAATGGCACAGGACCAGCTTTTCTTTTTAGTCATAAGCACATTCCCAACCATGCAGCAGTATAATTATGAAAGACTGTTAAGTTTGCATTAAAGAAAACAGAAGCTCAGTGGAGGAGTGAAATTCTGTTCTTTTGCACTTTATTCTTTTCAGGTTGATGAAATCATGATGACATTGAAACAGGCTTTCACCGTAGCTGCTGTGCAACAAACTTCCAAAGCACAGCCTCAGCTCTGTGAAGGATGTCCTATGCAAAGCTTGCATAAACTCTGTGAGAAGATAGAAGGTGAGGTTTAAAGAACTTTCTGGTCAAATATATTTTCTAATGATTTTATTGGGGAACAAACTTGCATGGAAACGAAGGGAATGAATGCTTAAAAAGAGCCTGGGTCTTGGGATGGAGGGTTGAAAGACAGTCTTTTTATGTAGAGGACTGCAATGTAGAATTATCTGTAAGGTAATAAGTATTTTCTAACAAAAGTTAAGTTACTTTCTTAAATTTAGTTGAATTTTTGAAAACTAATCAGGAGTCAAAATTTTACTGAATTGCTGCTAGCTTGGCTCTAGTAGCCATGTAAACACAGAGGACTGTAGATAAGGAACTTCTCAAGAATGTATGCTCCAATAGCTATTACCTCCTGTCCTGTTGAATCCACTTAGATACTGGCATTACACTACCACTAAGCATAAACCAAACAGTGAGCTTTTAATATGCATGTTTGTGGCGTTGATCTATAATCCTTCATGAAAAGGAAGCAGTTAGAATTGTAGTTGTTGCCCAAAAAACCAAGTTCAAGACAAAAAAAACCTCTTTGCATTTCAGCAAATTTCACAGTTAGGTTTTGTTCATTTAAGCAGTGTCTGGGGTGAATGAAGGGCAACAGCAGCTTGTCAGATCATGTGGCAGTAGCTTGTTGGACTAAAACCTATCTTGTCTTGATTTGATGAAACTGGAGAACTTCCAAAACTACTTTTCACTCTTGTTCGGTCTTCAACTAGCTATGATTTTTGAAAAATTTCTTAAAGGCAAATGATTTTTAATGCCTTTAATAGTCTTATCTGGTTAATCATATTGCTTCTGAAGGAGAAATGCCATGATCGGAAAGTGAAGTACAAAATACTGTTGATGGTTTGCTGATTTTCCACAGAAAATAGAGGAAAGGAATTTAATCCAGGATGAAAGGAGAAAAAAATAATCTGAATGAGAGGGTAGTCTGCTTTAGACTGTCCGTAAATTATTTTAGCAAAAGGCAAAACAAGAACTTCAGTAACATGCAATAAATTTACTCTTTTTCAGAAGAGGCCAAGGCATAAAAACTGGAGAACATCAGTGGAATTATATTTATACCACAAGCAAAATCCAAGCAGTACTGCATAAAACACCAACAAAGCAGTCTGCTAAAATGCAGTAAATTGTGGGCTTATTTTATTTTGTACGATAATGGAATCTTCTGCTAAGAGTATAATCCTGGTCTGTGCTCAGTAAATCTCCTCGTGCAGAGTTCGTGTCCCTCATTTTAAAGACATGAGTTCAGTAGTAGGTTTAAAGTAACCTAGAGTTCTCTCTAATGCCCTGTTATGAAATCAGTGCAACGGGTCAGCTCAAATAACTGAGGAGCTTTGGCTTAAATTGTGTGCATATTTATGTGATTGATTAATTCTGACAAATTTGACCCTGTGATTTGTTCTTTTTTGTTCCTCCTGGTAGGGTTACACCCTTCTAAGACTAAACTAGAGCTACAAAAGCATCTAACAACACTAAATAGCCAGGAGCAGGCCTCTGTTTTTGAAGAGGTTAAGGTAAGCTCTTTGTTTCCTACAAGATTTTAAAGCAACTGGTGCTTTTTTCTAACATCAGTGTGAAGCACCAAAGTTATTGTCAGTTTTTGTGAATTATTAATTATCTTTATTAATAGACCGTTAATCACCTTGTACTTTTGTGTCAATATTATTTTTCTAGAGCTGTTAAAAACTTGTCTTTTGATGGAAATGGCTTATTTTATGGATTTTTCTTCCCCTAATACTACTTGTTTTCCGTGAAAGTGCTGACTTCTCACTGAGTATAACTGCACACATTTTTTTGATGGTAAAGGCAGTAACTTGGGAGAACATTCAACTGTTAACTTTGACCAAAACCAAATTACTGTAACATTCCCAGATCAGAAAATTTCCTGCCTAAAGTTCATCTTAGATCTTAATACTTGTCAAACTAACTAAAACTAACTTTCTGTCTTCTGAATGAAAACCATTTTAGCACAGAGGAAAGCACAGCTGGATATAAGACAGATGAACTTTGTAGGAAGTGTCATTGGGCTTGGCACACTATTGAAGATTAGGAAATTTCAGACTTTAAAAAAAATAATATTTCCTTCCTCTCTTGAGTCATTTCAGTCTTTGTGTGTTTCCTTGTGGCAGTTTATCATCCAGTACCAAATTTGGAAGTTACTCTGTGGGAGCAATTCCATGAGCTAAGTAATTTCTTAGTGTATAGCTGGCACTGTTGCCTTTTAGTATTCTGCATGCATTTTAATGGCCTAAAGCTTCTAGCAGTTACAGGAAAATGTTAATTGCTTCTGGTGAGAGTCTGCAAACTATTAACTTCATAAAACCAAGGGTAAACTGTGTCTCTCCTGCCTATCTTTTTCAGTTTATTTTTGAGTTGGACTGCCTGAAATTTTAGTTGTGGCATTATTACAGCTCCATTTGTTGTAACCATAATTTGCATTTTTTAGATAACTGTCTTTCTAAGGATATTTTTATTATTAATCTGATGTGCTACCTTGGCATTAGCTAATTCATACTGTATCCTCTGCATTACATCAATAGGCTTAAAATAGCATATGCTTTTCAGAAGTTAGGCTTCTGGGGTTAAATTCTATAATAAATTGTTTTTAAAATATGTTCTCTTATGATAATTCAGAACTAAATAGAATGCAGCAGAGACGAATTTGTTCACCTTGTGCACTGACTTTTAAAATACCTGTGTCATTTCCCAAAAATGAAATGTCCAATGAGAAGGATTTCTAGGAGGAGGGTTGTGCATCATAACTGCAAGGCAGTACTTGATGAGTGCTACAAACTCAGAACTGCAGTGTTTTGGTTTTCTTTACATCAAAAGTGAATTCTCAAAAAATATTTTTCAAGTCTTTATTTGCTTTTGGGAATTTGATACCTCTACAGTTGTCCTTTATCTGTAATGTAAATTCTGTCATGTATGGCATGAGGTCAAGTGTTTCTCTGTGTTGCGGTTTTGCCTGGGACACTGGTGTCCTCTGGTGGACAGGAGTGGTAGCATTAACCAAGTTAAACTTGTTCTTACACTAGCAAGGTATTGACAGTAACAAAAATGAAGAGTAAATATTTGCTAACTATTATACAAATATGTAATTGCTGTGCTTGTGGTGTTTTCAATTAAAGAAATTAAGACCAAGAAATGATCAGAAAGAGAATGAGTTGGTTATCTCCGTTTTGAGAAACATGTATGAAGAAAAACAGAGGGACCATGTTCATGTTGGAGATGCAAAACAGGTAAGTAATCATTCAGTTTTAGCTTACATAAGGAGGAGCCAGGAGAAAATCTTCTATTTTTATGTCTTTTCAAAGGCTAATTTCCATCACTGGAATTACGGAACTTCAAACTGCAGGCAGTGGTGAACACTGGTTTTGCTTATGATTCATAGGCTGTCGTCATGTGCCAAAACAAGCATATGTCAGATTTTGTGGTATTTGGTACAGTCTGATTTCAGGCCTAGGAGCAGAGATGCAGACAAGGCAGTCCACTAATTTGGTTGTTTCTTTCTTCTCACTACAATGAAAATCCATGTATGTGACAGAATATGTAATGAATTTGTAATTGCTCTCAGTCTATCTGTGGCATTTGCCATCCTACTGCTTTGTCTGTGTGAGTCAGTGTCCTGACAACACATTGGATTTGATCCTTGCTAAAGAGTATTACATTTGCTTCATAGCTGGAAGTTATTTCTTGTGTGCATAGCACCGTTTGAAGTGGCCTCAAGGAGGAGTGGCTGAGGAGGATTGCTGCAGGAACAGCAGCAGAGACTATCATGCATTTCCAAAGATCTGAGCTACCTTTCATTCTGTATGAACTTGCATCAGTGCTGTTTCATTGGCTATTTGTGCAGCACATTTAAAATCTTTTCAAAAGGGATTAATGGTTTTGGATGCTGTGGTTTGCGACTAACTAACTTGAGACACCTCGAGGAGGTTAGTATTTAAAAGAGGATCAGCACCCATTCTTTGGAAACTTTCAGTTCCAATTATTTGACCCTTTTAAAATCCTGACTGTCCCACCACTGCTGGCTGATAATTCCATTGTGATGACTGCTGTTGGATATTTGTGATATAAACTAGCAAACAAATATATGGAGAGTAATTAGAGCCTTGAAGAAATTGGAGAAAGCTGCAAGTCTTCATTTACTACTTGTTCACTTTGTTAATCTTGTTTCCTTTTATGTATTACTGGCTAATTACTGAGCTCACAGAAAACAGAAAGAAAACTTGGCATATTTTGTTCTCTCATTTCTTGTCTTGGGCATCTCACCAGAAATACGTTTTAAGAAAAAGGATTGTAGTTATGGCATGACAGGAGGAAACACTGCCTGAGGTCCTCTATCATCATACCTGAAATATTTTTATTTGGTCTAATGCCAGCTGATTATCAAATAGTTGTCAGTCACGAATGGCTTGGAAATAGGGATATATGAAGCATGATAATGTCTTAATTTGTCTTCAGTGTGATTTGAAAATTCCTAAGGCCTGCAGTAGTCTGTTCCTGAAACCAAAATTGATTAATATGACGCTTGCAAAGGCACCAATGCTCTAAGAACAGAGTTGACTTGCCCCCAGTCCATCATTTGTCGTAGCATAACATTTTATATTTACTCTGATAACTTATCTCCAGAGCTGTGTAATAGCAGATACCTTTGAACATGTACTCTGGCAGTGTTATTTGTCTCAGCAATCATTAACCCATGACATCCTGATGTCCCTGTTCCCTTATTTTCTGCAAAGGTATTTGCTTTTGTGCTTTTCATCACTTTTTTAATTTTAATATTTAACTCAGGGGAGGAAAAAAATGAAATGTGATTCTAGTACATGGATCTTAGTTGACAAAAGTGACCTTCAAAATAAATATCTTTTCCTAAGAATGTAATAGCAGGCAGCATCTGATTTGCCCTTTGAGCATAAGATGACTGAAAGTAAAAAGAAAATACAGAAGCCTGTAACTTTGTCTTACTGGAAATAGGATGCTTTTAAATTATATCTAGACAGGACTATCCAGTGATTATGATGATGTGCTTGCTCTTCAGCTGCCCGTGTACTGATAGTTACACAGATCACGCATTCAGATCTCTGAAATTCAGATCTCTGAAATTAGGGCCAGGTAGAGAGGGCTACGGTGGTTGACAGCCTCAAGATAAACACGCAAAAATAACACTGAAAACTGTGCAACAGTGCTCTGTTTTCTACTGCAGGTGTTAGGTTTGTATGGTAATATTTGCACCGTAGTGTCATTTCTATATTTGCTACACTAGTCTTCACAAGCACTAAAAATGAACTGAAATATTTATTTAAAAAGCAGAACTCTGAATAGACTCTTAACTTTATGGTGGAAGTGTTCCCACTGGTGAAATATGTAGAAGCATTAGATTGTTATACATCTTCCTATTTTAATATAATGGATACACTTGAGAGTTCTTGTTAATTATGAGCTTCATCAATTTTGATTAATTTCTTGGCTGAAAAAAAAGTAAATCCATCAGAAATCTCTAATCTGTTACAGGTGAGCATTTAGAATTTGTACAGTGGTACTTTGGCATTCAAGAAAGTTTGTCAACACAGCCATGTCAAAATGGCAATTCTTCTGAAGCATGCTACTACACTCAACACCTTAAGAGATTTCCTGGTCTTATGTTAGTATAGTAATAGATACTATGTAACTTCAGTGTAAGTATCAGGAGAGAAAAAGGCATCAAAAGCCAAGGACACCAGGAGAAAATACTGATTCAGGTTACAGAAGTCATCAAACTGTTCACTGAGGTTCTGCTCCGTGCTGTTGAGTGTTTCATATTTATGTTTTTAAACCCTTGCAGACTTCACAAGTTAAAAAAAGAATGCTGTAAATGAGGTGCCCAGCAGTGCTCCAAGATTCAGATTAGATATGTTAAAGAACAAAGCAAAAAGATCTCTGACAGAATCGTTTGAAAGTATTTTATCACGTGTAAGTATCTTCATGTTTATTGCCTCTGAACATAATTTCATCATTTTATGTACTTGAATGATAGAAAAGTCATGTTTTTTATTCTTCCAGGTTGTAGCCAGGTGGTTATTAAAGGCACAGTGAGAAAAATATTTGAGTGTACCTGTTAGAAAAAGGCAAAACAAAGCAGGGCTTTGGTAGAGAGAATACTGAGTCCTGGAAGAAGTGAACTAATTGCTAGATAAGAAATAGTGTGTATAGGCATTTCAAAAAATTAATATGAAGTCGAGTATGAGAACTTATGAAAAGCGACCATTGTTTTATTTCTCTATCAGATTTAGAAAATTAAGGAAGTAATTGTAATTGTTCACTTCTCTTTATGTAGAAGGAAATGATTAGTATGACCAAGCATTCCTACTGAGATAGTATTTTAGTAGTGACATAGAACTGATGAATAATGGGGCATCTGAACTTGTAAATGCTAGAAATTATTTGAAGGTGAGGAGGACTTCAGAAGGCACTAAGAACATGCAGGTATTATGTAATATCACATCAGGTAAAATTATTTGTAAACTGTCTGGCAAATACCTATTAGTGGCAAAAACTTGAGCTCCAATGTGATAGTGATCCCCAAGAAATCATGTTAGGAAAATGTTTATCATAAACAGATGGCTGAAAATATCTGCTGAAACTATACAGCAGCAGTTAAGAAAACAAATCAGATGTCAAGTTTACGTACTACTTAAACCTACAGAGCGTTGTCTCATTCAAATATTCTTTGTTTTGCGCCTCATGGGAAAAGTCTGAGGAAAATAAGAGGAGACTTGGAAAGACTTCTGCTTGACAAAGGATTAAAAAATTCAGATGTCCCTTTTTTAAATAAAAGAGAGTTGTGACAGAATGCCAAACAACAAATATTAAAGACATTTCTCATCAATGAACAGCTAAATTGAAGCAAGATCTAGTGCAGTTTATTGGGTCATAAACATGGCAACTTGTAGTGAAAAACTAGACTTTCAAAACTTCTTTCAGACATCTTATCGAACCTGTTCCCTGAAACAAATGATGGCAAAAGCTTGTTCTCTCTGTTATAATTACACATATAGAGAGAATTTTTAATTCAATATTTCTTCTCATTGCTTTCCAGACAGCTTTTCTAGAGTTCAGCTCCATAAAATCCTTCTGTGGGAGTGTTCAAGATGTGAAACATAATGTTAGTGTTGTTGCTCTTAACTATAGTAGTTACTGTTCTGATTTTTGCCAGTTTGTCCTGACTGGCATAAGCTGTCTTCACATAAGCACAGCTGTGTATTGGTTGCATTTTTGCTGTCAACAGCTGTTTTGGTGGAAGTTCTTGTTTTTGATAAGGTCTGAGGCAAAACATTTTGTTTGAGCTTCAAGGAGAGAATAGTCAGTTGTGTGAGTAACAGGAACATCTTACATTTTACCAGCAATAACAGTTCAAAGAGAACATGAGCCTGAATTTCAGAACATAAAAAAATTATACCATGTAAGGTTAGGAAGGTGCAGGTTGCATAGTTGTGTTAACACATAAGAATCCAGCTTCTTGATGTTTCTCTTGGTTACATAAAAGCATTAGTTGAACAAATTATTAAAAAAAAATTGTTGAACAGACTATACAAAAATATTCATGCTTTCTGATTTGTAGGCATTGAGATGATAATAACAGAAATTATGTTTTGCTGTGTATTAAATTTACATGGTTTTAAGTCCTTTGTAATAGATGGGTTTTTTTGTTTCTTTGTATCTTTGTAAGAAGTACCTACTGTGAAAATTTCCTGTTTGGAATTTAGCAGTAATTATAGTACACGTGGGGAGTGTGTGATTATGTACTTATCATGGAAAGCACACCGCTGCCCATGAGAATTCCTTAATTCCACAGGATCCTTAAAATGTCAGTGACTGTTCTGAATGAAGCCTCTGTTTCTCACAGGGGCAAAGGCTATTCTTAAGCATTTAAGAAAATTAAATTTGCTACTGTCTTTGAAAATTACAGATTCTGACTGTGCTACACAAATCTCTTTTTGGTATGCTCTGTATATTATAATCTTAACGGCTGGTATGCTTTATCTCTCCAGGGCAGTAAAGCCAGAGGTCCGCTGGACAGTTCGGGTGCTGTGGATTTGGACAGCTCCATGTCTAGTACGTTAAGCAGCACAAGTAAAGTAAGTAAAGCCTGGAGTGGATGTACGTATTTAGAACCTTCAGATAGTATTCCCTGAAACAACTAATCGGATGTGAAATGCAGTTACCAACTGCTCATATAACTCTTATTTTCCAACATCTTGCATTTTGTTTTGATTATTTTTCGGAGTAAACAAGCTAACTGATTGTGTCTGAAAAGAAAGAAATCCCAGAACTGCCAAACAGTATGGTAGAAACAGTATCACAGAGTAGGGAGGGTAGGTATGTCCTTTTCTTACTGCCTCTAAGAGTCCTGCTGCCACCTGCTGACCCATAGGGTGTGTCTTTATTCCTGTGCGGAGTCCAGCTGAGGGTGATGAGGCTGTATGCATTGCAGGCAGCCTCTCGGATTGGCCCCTGCCTTTCTGTGTGGTTCTTTTTTTTTTTTCCCAGCTTGAAGCAATATTTAAGTTTTTTAGAATTTGCAAGTTGGTTATTGGAATAATTTTTGATACATGTAACATATTAGAATATGTGTGAGTCCTCAGAGGGACAACTTGAACAAAGTACTTTCACATTTTTACTGTGATAACAAAGTCAAGCTAAGAAATGGCAGTCATGTCAGTACAATGATGACATCTAAGATGCTGTAACCTTTACAGGTTCACTGGAGATTTACATACTTCTTGACAAGATGGGACTCATACTAAGTATGTGTTTCTGTTCTCCAGAATTTTCAAGTTGCTTTCATGCCTTTCATTCTGTTCTCCATGCTATAAAAAAGCAGTGCCATCAGGCTCCATTTGGATTAGAAATGCCTTTTACTGTATATAAGCATATGTTTTGTATTTATGTATCTTATTGTGTGAGTCTATATATGTGAAATCAAATATTATATAACGTCATGTGAATCTTTCAACAATGTGCAGCAAAACAAATGCAATAATTACCATGGTGCTGATCCTAATCTGGTTGGTTTCAGCTATGAAAGTACATACTATGAATGCAGGATTGTCTAAGTAAGAAACTTAAAACTAAAACAAGAAACAGAGTAAGTTCCGCCTTTGTGTGTTTAGAAAGCTTTTAGTCTGAATAAAACAATATAAACAGCCTAGAAAAAGCCAGTCTGCCCTGGAGGGAATCTAGCACTCTGCAGACTTGGCTACAGCTATTGGTTCTGCTCTGGTGCCTAGTCACCTATGGACTCCTGACTTCAGGTAATCGGGAGTCTGCTTTTTGTGCTTATGATTTTGAAGGCATGGCCGACTCCGCAGGAAACACATGAGATGGAGAATGAAGAATGAATGTGTGGTTTTGGACTGAAACAGGCATCTAGCCATAGGATTAAAGTCCTTTGTCTGAATCTTCAGATAGACTAGAGGAACATTATATTGTTAGATGGGGTGCTGAATATATGGTGCTCTGAAATGCCACCCTTTTCGTTGCTGTCGGTGTTACCCAAACCTGACCCATCTGTTCTGCTCTGGCCCCATTTCTTCCGAGTTGTACTCAACATACTGTAAAATACAATTACTCTCAAAATTGCTTTTTCTCTGTAAAATGGAGACTGTGATTTATTGACCTAACTGATTAATAACAAAGACATAAAACATCAAAGATTCCTTCTTTCAGCTATCATGATAAAACACAAGTTCAAAGCAGGTCTCTGGAATGTGGGATGTGAATAATGACACGGGACTGCAACCTCAAAGCTTGATTTTAAATGCACATATTGATTACCCTGGTTTTTTTGCACTGCTAGGAACCACCGTTGTGTGAAAAGGAGAAAGACAGACTTCCTACACTTCCTACAGAAAATGTTGTCAAGACTAGTGGATCAGTGGGTGATGTCTCCAGCAATGCAGATGGTTCTTCTATTGAGCAGTCTGTTACATTACCTCAGCAAAGCTTTCGGAGGCGAGCAAACACCCTGAGTCATTTGCCAACAGAAAGCCAGGAATCTCTGCTACCTGTTGAAGCATCGCCATCTGTTCCCCAGAGGAAACTTATGAGGTATCACTCAGTGAGCACAGAGACTCCTCACAAAAGAAAGTAAGACTTATTAAAAGCAGGCTATGATTTTGTTTGTTGGGGACATACTTGGGGATGATAATTGCATACCAGGTATGTCCTCTTAATGGGTAAGAAATGTATAGCAGCAGTGTGTCACTTTTTGGAGGTTTGTAGGTATTCTGTTTAAAAACACTTAGCCCTGTGTGCCCCACAGGGGAGAGAAAGCGTGAGATGTGTAGTTCGACAGTATGTGCCACAAAACTAAGTGTAAACACAACACAGGGTTGCTCCTAAGGGGTTCAGTTATATTTTTGCAAGCTGTATTCATTAATTTTTGTTGTTTTGATCTGCAAGCAGTATAGACAAATGCTACTCCTCATCTGTTTGTAGAGAAAAATCCAGTAGCATTTGTGATGCTGAAAACCTTACTAGTTGGTGAATTCATATGAGACTTTAAAATAACACACTAAACTGACATAAATAGCCCAATTGTTGATAGAGGTGAGGCTCCTGTCTAGCTTTCCAATAAGCCTATGTAGATTTTACTCACAAAAACAAGCTACTGCTTGCCTTCATGATAATATTCTTCAGGCTATCCTTCAAAAGCTTGCCTCTGTATCTGTAAAGTTTCCTCTTTATGGCAGTTTTCTTCCCTCCCTCTATCTGGCTTTTTCCAATTACCGTGGAAACATTTCTGTCTGTAGGCTTCTGTTTTACTGCCAAAACTGCTTGTTTACACAAGTTAGACAGTAGGAAATCTGTATGTGTTCCAGCTCATTTTTCCCTGCAGGAGGCAGGGCAGTAAATGAACATGCCTGAAATAGGTGATGACAGTGAAAAAAGGAGAATTATAGTATTGGAATGGTAACATAACCTGGGTTGCCTTTTTGTCCCTTCTTTGAACCTTTTTAATTCTAAAATACTAGAATGTTTTTGTAGTGCACTTTAAGACTTGTGTTGTTGGTCTGTTATCTTCATAAGAGTTGCCCTGATGCTTGTAGCTGCTTGTTCAATCAGTTCTTATCTTACTATAGGAATGTAGCTAGAAATTATTTTTTTAATTTCCCTGGTTATTTCTATTTGAGTTTGATCATGTAATTTTTAAAGACCTGAGTGTGTGTGCTTCTCCCATAACTAAAGCCAAAAAGAAATCATTGTTGCTTCCTTTCATAGCAAGTGTACAGAACCAGGGGAAATTGAAAACTTAGAAGGAAAGTATACTGAAAGGTCTCAAAAATCACTGGAATGATAGACTTAACAAGCTTTGTATGTTTTATAAGTGTTTTTGAACAGCTTACTTCAGTTCATAAGTTATTTCCAAAGTGTAGATAAATTCAGTTCTTCCTGTGGCATTTAACTTCTCATCCATTAGAACTCTTGATCATATGCCTGACTTTATCATAGATACCAAGGGGAAGTACATATTAGGGAGAAGAAAGGGGTTTGTCAGTGACAATTTTTTGGGACTTTAGATTTAGTCATATGCTGAAATGCTGAAGCCTGTAAGTGTGTATCTGGGACTTCGCTGATTGGGTTGAAATGTTCAGCCTCTTAAAATTACTGCATTAACTGTGAAAAACATAAGATATGCACATTTGTATATATCAGGTCCCTTTCAAAGATTAGAGAAGGGATTTCACTTCCTTCCCCCCCCTTTCCTCTCTTACTGTGTTTTTTCTTTTGTGCTACTTCAACTCCATCTCTCTGGTTGGAATCCCGCTATATGGTTTGAACGCATCTGTCGGCGAATCTCAAAGTTCTTCCGGTCAACTTGCACGTTCTCCTACTCTAGCTCGTCTTAATCCCTCGGCCTCTTCACCCAACTTTTTAAAATATCTAAGGCATAATCCAAGTGGAGAACAAAGTGGGCATTTTGCACAAAAGAGGTGAGCTAACACCTGTACATAGTTTGGAGTAGGGTTTGTTTTACCCTGTCATAACTGTGAAGCTCCATAGTGCAAATAGTTAAAATAATATAGACCAAAGGTGGTAGATTTTTGTGGGAGAGGGAACTCTTTAACTCCTCCACTACTGAATGTAGAGCTGCTACTTACATGATTTTGTTTTAATAAATAAAATTATTTCAGATGGACACATGGCTTTCTTTAGAGCCAGTTGCTCCAAAGCAACTTGTTATGCAGCAGACAGCAGCACTGCTTGAATTGTATGAAAGATAAGTTGCCAAGAACCTGTGATCCAGCTCACTCAGTTCCTCCTGGATCATTCAGTTCTGTTCTGCTTTGTTCATGCTAACACAGAAATATATTAATATTCTTTTGTGCCTGACATTAAAGGCAAATTGACTAAGTTAACTAAATGGGGCAAGAAATAGCAGGACTGTGGAGAGCTGATACAAAAAAACCCACAAACAGCCAAAAACCATAAACAACCAAAAAAAGCACCTCACCCCACTCTCCTCCCAAAACAAACAAACAAAAAAAAACCAAGAACAAACAAAACCCCCCAACCCACCAGCTCATGTATTTGCCTTTGCTGCTCGGAGCAATATAAATGATACTTTTCTGTGCCTTCTTTCTTAGAACAAAAATACATACAGAGAATGTTGAGAAACAGGCATTAACCCATCATGTCCCTGAGAACCTGAAACAAGTAGCTCCCCAAAAATCTTAGCCATGAAACCCCTTCTTAACCCTTTGAGCTAAAACTTCTTGTTTTAGCTCAAAAGGCTAATGAGACCAAATGACCTTGGAAGCGCTGTCAACAGTCACCGGCTGTTGACAAGCAATTTTTGTTGCTGTTTGTTGTTTGTTTTTGAACTTGAATCAATAAAGTCAAACTGCCCAAGTTGATTATATTCTGAAAGTGAAATTACCATGTAGTTGTGATGGATTTACCATACGATTGTAAGTGAAACCTGTTTGCAGGGCACACCATGCTACAGCCTTATCTTCGTCATGTTCCGCACCACCTACTGAAGAACAGCTTCACTTCATACTAGTGCTTAGACCAGAGTATCCCCCCCATCTCATTCACATCTTCGGGAGACAGCGCTAAATACACTCCAGATATGTCATTATGGTTTTTCAGAAGCAGTTCTTTCTTGAACTTAGTTTTTCAGGAGTAAATTCTATACACCTGTTTTTGTGCACTTTCTGAGAAAAGGTCTTTTAGTATCATCATCCATGTAATTTCCTATGTTTTAATTCCATGCAGAAATTTTTCCTAATCAAAGTTGTTCTCACTTCCTTCTGTTAACCTTCTGAGTATGTTGGAGGCTTGTTATTTGAAAAGAAAGAGCAGAATTATGCTGGCCAGAAAGCTGTTGCTAAAATTTGATTAGTGCTCCTGTTTGTTGCATAAACAGAGCCACAATCCTAAATGATCAATCAGAAGGCTAAGCTTTTAAGTTAAAAGTTACAAACTTGTCTGAATAAAACCCTATTAATGCTTTACAAAATGGTTTTTGGCAGTCTTATTTTTCATTTGCCATCACAATGATTATCTGTCAGCTTTTTCTAGCCTTCTCACCCAAACTTCGTCAATCGTTGAAACTGATATTTAAGTAAACGTGCAATGATAAGGTTGGTGTCAGTTCTTATTTCATTAAAGGAATTTACTTAAAACGTGCACTGAAAGTCTTGGGATATAACAAAGAATAATAACTTTACTGGAAGTACATTTATTTATATTGGAACATTTTTGTTTGCCCAAACAAGTATGTATTTTAAAGTAGCACTTTGTTAGCAGTTTGACATTGGTTTCCTTGATATTCAGGCCTTCAGGATTTAGCTGCTTTTTGTTTGAAACTTAGCAGTATGTATAATTTTTTTGCTGTAAATTTATACTTCTTTGTTCTAAACTATACTTTTCCCAACTGCACTCTCAGCATCTCCTACCGTACTGCCTTAAGGAAAAAGCTTCATTCTTCCTCTTCTGTGCCAAATTTCTTAAAATTTCTGGCTCCTGTAGATGAAAATAACACCTCTGAATTTAGGAACACAACAAGGTAGGGTTCTCTCTTAAACCCTGGAGGTAAAACTGTATTTTCAAAGGTTTATTTCTCTGAAATATTTCAAATGATTCTCACTCTTGCAAAACCAGATTTGTGCAACAGTTCATTTGCATGTATTCTGCATGTGATTGCTGTCAAAAGGTTGGAGCTATCCCAGACTTCTCTCCCGTTAAGACTGCAGAACTTAGCCATTTTGATGTTGTAATGGTCTTGCAACTTCCATCTATGTACTTTTTTGATTATTCCTGCCAAAGGACTGTATGAGCAGTTTTCAGTTAAGAGGATATGTGTGGTTCATCCTAAGCAATGTCAGTGTCCTCAGATTGGAAGGAGAGGATGGCCTGTAAAATTCTCCTCCCAATTGCTGCCAGAGCTATTTGAAGTTCATTTATCCCTTTCAGCTTCAACAGACTTACGCAACCATTTAGCCAGTGACTGGAATAAAGCAATGAATAGTTTCAAGATGTAACGGGTGAAAGTTATTTGTGGGATTTTTAATAGGAAAACAGCATTGCTGTTCACTATTTCCTTTCATGATTTGAATAAAAACCTCTGTATGCAGTTTGTGGATTGCATCAAAGGAGTAACATCCAGGGCTCCTGGACACTCTTCCAAAGTTTGTTGCCTATTTCAGATGGTGACTTGTGAACACTAAGGTTTTGCTCCAAGTCTGTGTTGTGAGGGAGTATATTGTGTACTCTGTTCACAGAAGGCTGGAAGTTCAGTTGGTGTTTATAAAGTTCCTCAATGTGTACTGATAAAAGGCATCAGCAGTTCTTTGAGTCTCCTGTGAATAATTGCTAGATTTTGTAAATTGCATTTAAATAGCAGAATGGTAAAGATACATTATGGTGTATGTGTCTTTGATGCATTGTGTTTAATACACTGCTGCAAAGAAGGCTGAAAATAAAACTGGAGAAAGCAGATTGCCCAGAGCTGGTAGCCCCTTTTCATCACCTAAGTGATGTTTGCAGCCTTGTATAAGCCTGCTGCCACAAAGCGAGCTTCACTACCTAACACTAAGAGCTTGCCTCAGCATGTGCACAGCGCACTGCACTCCTTACATGATCGTTTGTGTTATATTCTCTGAAGACTGTGTCACTCTTACTAGCAGATTCAGGTAACCTACTCAAAAGCCATTCTGTGTTCTGCAATTTTAGCAACTACGAATCCAAACACAGCCAGGAGGCCATTGGTGCGGACAGCCCTGTAAGGACTCGACGGCATTCATGGAGGCAACAGATATTCCTGCGAGTGGCAACTCCTCAGAAAGCATGTGATTCTCCCAGCCGATATGATGGTAAAGTCTGTGTTTATTTGCTCTCGTGAACAATGTTAGTGGATGTAGTCTGTGTAGCATGGATCATTTTATCTGCCGAGTGGATATATTTGCCTGGTGCTCTGTTTGTACTGTCTTTGCAGCTTCCCACCTACTTTTTGGTTATGCTAAGCTCATCAACTGTTGAGTTTTTATTTTTCAGTATTGTATGTAACATAGTTTTGATTGTGTCAGATTAACCAGAGAATAAGTTATTTTTATGTGTAGTATTCTAATGATTTCTGGGAAAAAAATGTACCACCGAGTATTGCTTTGAAGAAAAGGTGATGCTTCTATTTCATCTTTCCATGCTGGAGTCTAGAACTATGGACTAGAAAAATCCAGGCCTATCAGAAGGAGTTAAATTTCTTTTATGCCCTTGGTTGAGTTCTGTAGTGTGTACTTCATACCAGATTGAATTTGACCTCATGTATGCTGCTCCAGACTGTGATACTTTGCCACTTGAGCCATAGTTCTCATATTTCTTTTATGAAATTCTGTAAAGATAAAGAATCACAGACTAGAAAAAAATCGCTGCATGTGAGCATACACGTGCATCATTTTATGCATCTCAACTTTATGTGACCCAGAAACTACAGCACGTGTGAGGCCAAGAATGCCTCAGAGAAGCTTGTGTCTGTAGGTAGTGGTTTCTGGCTCACTAAAGTTTGAATTTAACAGCTTGAGCTCTGCAAGCTCTTCCTTCTGACTGATCTCTAATGCCATTGTGTAAGAAATAAGGGAAGAAGAGGGAACAGTACATTATAGCAAATGTAATAAGAAATAATCGTCTTAACGTCACTGAGACATTTTTCTTGCTTCTTAAAGAGAGATCTTGATTAACTGGACACCACACAGAAGTGTTTCTGTCATTAATGCATTGCTTGTAACGTAATTTGGCTGACAATAGGGTAAGCTGTGTGTGGGCATAGATGCCTCTCAAATTTAGCGTACTTCAAAACAAAGAAATCTCAAGGGCATGTTGTGTAAATATGTGAAATGCTCTCTTATACTTCAAGGCATATGAAGGAGCGGT